GGTAAGCTTGACTAGATTCTCGATTATGGATCTCACAAGGCTAAAATCAAGTTCTTGTTCAGCTGGGCTGTTATCTGGAGGCTCCAAGCTCATTCAGGCTTTTGGCAGAATTCAGTTCCTTGTGGCTACGGGACTAAGGATCCTGTTTCCTTGCTGACTGTCTTAGCTTTGTAAGGCTGTCCACATTTCTTTTACTTTGTCCCCTCATCTTCAAGCAGCAACACTGGGTTGAGTCCTTTTTATACTTCCAACCTCTCTGCTTTCTCATTCTTCTGCAACCTCTTCCATTTTCTTCTTGATTTTAAGGTCCCATGTGATTACATTGCCCCATCTCGATAATCCAGGATAAACTCCCTATTTTCTGATCAGCTGATGAGTGAACTTAATTCCACCTTCTGCCGTCTCTCTGCCTGCCGGGATCGGTGCAACGCAATGAAACTACAAGCACACGCTGCTTGGAGTGAGGGGGAGCTTTGCAAGGTAGTAAATGCTCCAGATCTCTGGACGCAGTCCCATTTATTTGCAGACTGGTACCCCCAGGTCACAAGTGGATTTAAGTAAATTATTTCCTTGAGATGGCATTACTTCAAACATACACCCTGGCTTTGTCTTTTGCTTTTTATGGGAAGAGACCTTGAAGCCAAAAGATAACAAACCCTTATTCACATGCAAATAAAGTACCCAATACACAAGGGCGGGCCAGGTCCTCCCCCCCCCCCCCTAGGATTCCGAGAATGCATTTAACACAAGGTCGAGAGTGCTTAACACGAGGTTAAAAAACATCCATCTTCCAATCCCCAACCCCACAACCATCAAAGTCCCTTCACAGTAGTATCTAGATTGGTATTTGATTGAATAACCAATTCTGCGTGCCACAGGTGTTTTCACCTTATACATTTGTTTTCTGTCTTTTATGTACATGTATTTTCTTTTACAAATGTAAGGACTAAAAAACCATGGAGACATGCCAACCAGTACCTTCTTGTTTGAGAGGTACTTATCAAAGATACTTACCTTTATTTAGGGAAAAACCCAAACCAAACCAGAAAGTGACTTCTTTCTTTAGTTGAAATATTTTGTACCTTGTCTAAAGATGATAAGAAAATGGAAGTATAAAAAAAGTAAATTCTGGAATTGGCTGCTTTCATTACCATAAGTAACTCTAAAACACTGGCAATAAAAGTTATGTCTTAATAAAATTTACCATTTGTATGGCATAATTAAATATGGCTATAAATGTGCAATCCTTATAGTACGGCTCATTGCATCCATTTTGGCAATAGCTTTTATAAAACCTGATATTACTTTGGTTTTCCTGCCATTTCATAACTATTTTTGGGTGTAGCTGTCATTATATTTTTTGCTAACTTAATTGATGGTATATCAAAATTGACCTACACCAGGGGTGGGCAAACTTTTCCTGTCAGAAGTCCAGGTAGTAAATGTTTTCTGTTTTATAAGCCATATTGTCTCTGTTGCAGATATTCAACTCTTGTCATTGCCCCAAAGAACACAGACAACACACAAAGGAATGGGCAGAGCTGGATCTGGCCCATGAACCACAGTTTGCAGACTCTTGATCTACACATTTGAATATTTCTTCTCTTATTGTTTGTGTTTGGTGTTTTAGTAGTGATATATTTTTACTACACTCACTTGGATACGCATATTATACAAGAAAAAACATAATGAAGAAAGGCACAAAAATCAATATTTTCCTTTAGTTGTAGCATGAAGATTTCAGACTTTGAACCCACTTTTTCAAGTAAGTGTAATGCACATATCTAAATTCTTCTCTGAGCTTTGATAACAAAACTAAGTCTATTTTTTTTTTATCAACCTTCTTATTCATTTGTTCATTCAACAAATGTTTGTTGATGACCTACTATGTGCCAGGCACTATTCTAGATCCTGGAGATAAGCAGTTCACCAAAGTCCCTGCCATCACCATGTACATACTCTAGTTGACTTGCTACTGATGATGGATGTCAAGAGTTCAGATACAATACGCTTTTTCTGATAGTTTCTCCCTGACCTGCAATAGAGCAGCATTTAAATACGAATGTTAATATACTTTAATTGTTAGATTTAAATATTGTTTGCTTATATGTTCTTGTAAATTGTGCAATGATTGTTGAAAGAAATCTAAGAGTCTACGTTATATGTTTAACATGTGTTGTTTCAAACTTCCATTGAAGTTTGTTAGGAGTGAAAATTATTTTGCAAAGACTTGGACAAGGTACCATCACATTTTATTGTCTTCAAGTTACAGCTTGAGAGATGTTGCTTTTCTAGACCATGCTGTGATTGAAATTATCCCTAGTTAAGCCATCAGCCGGTGATAGTTGGACATTTTGACATTTTAACTTGAGCCTCATCAATTCATCATAGCCATCAACAAATTTTCTTTGAAAATTTATTTTAACCAGTGATGCCTATTCAGTTTTGGCTTTAAGGGAATTTATTCTTACCTGAGGAAAAGAAAAAGTTAGGTAGAAAGACCTGAAGACTTAAAATAACTCTATAATTAACATAAAAAGTCAAACTTCAACCAGAACTTACCATAAATGTACAAAGTATTAGGCATTAATTTTCTATTGCATAACTGACAGCCATGCTGTGATGAGAGCATCCATCCTTAAGCCTTTCCTGGCATCTGAGTGCATTACATGTGTCCCGCAGTCATATCCTTTCTCACGTACTTTTACATGCGTTGACATGCATAAGCCTAAATTAAAAAAAAAAGCTGAACTACCATTTATCTCCTCAAACACATGTTTACAATATATTGATATATCATCGGCAGATATGGTAAGAGAACCTTTATTCTAAGATCTGAATAAAAACAAGTTATTCTGGTAGCACTAGTTTCCACCCTGTTCAATTTTGGTGGGTGCTTACATATACATCGCATTTTCTTTCTCTGTGTTTTTTTTTTTTAATACATTACAAACAAATAGTTAAACTGTAATAATATAAATGACAAGTTCGTAGGATTCCTGGAGCTCCTCCATAAACCCCAAGGTTATGTAGAACAAATCTGAGACATCTGATCTAAGTCAATCCCTTGATTTTCTGAATGAGGAAAATGGAGCCCAGAGAGAAGGTGTGTCCAACACACCTGCCCCAGATTCCGGCCCAGGCCCCCTCACCCCTGGCGCAGTGTGTTCTCCATGTCTATGGTCTAACTTTGAGTTCGGCAGGCATTACAATTTCTATAATTTACTGTAAAGTACACGCAGCCCTTGTGACATCTGGGATGTACCAGTTAGTTAGGCTTTAACTCTTTGTGTGGTGTCGGCATTTGGTGAGAGGCGCCCACGAAGGCGCAGATTCTATAGGCCTTTCTTGACCATCCGTGGATGCTTTACGACTTGGCAGGCCGAGTCCAGATCTGGCTTTCCGTTGCTGATCTTGTGTTTGTTCATGAGCATGCTAGATGTTAGAAAGAGGCTGTAGCTCTCACGAATGAAACGAAACATGTTTTGAGCATATGGATTGGCTTCTACTCTGTTTTGAACAGGGTAGGAGAAGCCTGGACTCGTTTTTTTAAGGGCTGATCCTCACGGTTTGAGTCCCTAATTGGTTCCCAGTCCAGACATCGGTTTGGGAGGACTTCAGACTGCCTGGTGCCCTCAAGGCGCAGGACCTGCCCCAGAAATCTGGCCGAGTCCGTTTCAGGCAAACTTCCTACGCGGACCACCAAGTGGGACTTTTCCCAGTGTGTAGATTAAGTCGTATAAACTTTATGCTTTCTTGCTTATAAGTTTTTGCTAACAAACATCTGACTGTATGAGGGAATTTGGACTAACATTTGTTTCCATTGAAATCTTGTCGCCGGGGTGTGGAGAGTAGTAAACCCTCCCTGTCTCAACCTTCTGCGGCGGCCTCTGCAAACAACTTGTGTGTATGACCGAAGGGCTGAGGCAAGGTCTGGGCACAGGCTGTCTCTCGCTGTGAGTCAGTGGGGTCTTACTCTCCTGCACAACCCAGAGAGTGTTTCCTTCTCCCCTCCCCACAGCTTTTTGTTAAATTTACCAAAAAGAGGGAGCTGTTGCTACGGCTCTTTGTGACTTCCTGTGATGTGATTGATTTATCCTCAGCTCCTTTCCCTTGCTGACACTACTGCTTTCAGAACACAAAAGGTCACCCTGGCCGCTTTGGCTCAGGGGTTCGTGGTCCAGAGAGACCCGGGTTCGGTTCCTGCTAAGGGCATGTACCTCGGTTGCAGTTTGTCCCCGGCCCTGATTGGGTCGTGTGGGTGGCAGCCACTTGATGTGTCCCTTTCATGTCGATGTCTCTCTCTCTCTCCCTCCCACTCTGTCTGAACAGAAAATGGAAAAATGTCCTCGGGCGAGGATTAAAACACACACAACAAAAACCAAAAACAAACCAAAAAAACCTTAGTACCCCAGCATGCGACTGATTGGATCTTTAAAGGGGTAATTAAGTGAAAATGAGGTCAGTTAAGGTGGGACCTCATCTAACAGGACTGGTGCCTCTATTAGAAGAGGAGATCAGGACACAGACAATAGCTAGCTACAAGCCAAGGACAGAGGCCTCAGAAAAAACCCAACCCTGCCAGCACCTTGATCACAGACTTCCAGCCTCTGGAATTGTGAGACAATAAATTTCTATTGTTTAATCTACTCAGTGTGTGGTCCTGTGTTACAGCAGCCCTAGCAAATGAATGCAGACTCCGCTTGTTTCAGATTCCACCTCCTTTATCGGTTGCTGTAGCTTTGGCCCTGACTCTGCAGGCTCTCACACTGGAACGGGGTTAAGCATTTGAGGTGCCTTAAAACATTCTGTTCTGTGTTGGAGTGAGTTCCAGAAGGCAGTGCAGTGCCCTGTTGGCCCTGCAGGAGGAGCTGGCTTCAGAACAGAAAGAACTTGAGTCACAAATGAGAAACTTCCTGCAGCAGCTCTAGGCCCTGCAGGGAAGAGCTAACAGAGTTGTAACATTCTGGATTCTTCTTCTTCTCTTCTCTGCAGGTGAGGAAAACTTTCTCCGCTCCAAGTTAAAACAACACGCTCCAATACCGCAGGAAGTAAAACAAGTTCTCAACTTTCTGTTCTCAATTCTCAAGGATGGACTGGGCCCAAGGTTGGTGGCTTTCCCAGCTCCCAGCTAGATCATCCATCCCTGAAAATCCGCCGGTCACTTGGGGAGCAAGCAGTTGATAAACCTCAAATTGATCCCAAGATCAGGAGGAGAAAATTACTCCTATCTCCTTTAAAATACATAGAGTTTTTAAAAAAATATTTTTTCTTCATTGATTTTTAGAGAGAGGAAGGGAGAGGGAGAGAGAGATAGAAACATTGATGAGAGAGAACATTGAATGGCCACCTCCTGCATGCCCCGTACTGGGACTTGGCCCACAACCTGGGCATGTTCCCTGACCAGGAATCAAACCGGCGACCTCTTGGTACATGGGTCGATGCTCAACCACTGAGCTACACTGGCCGGGCCGTTATAGTGTTTTTTAAAAATTGATTTAGAGACAGAGAGAGGAAGAGGGAGAAAAAGAGAGAAACATCAATTTATTGTTCTACCCATCTATGCATTCATTGGTTGACTCCTGTATGTGCCCTGACTGGTGATCGAACCCAGAATCCTGGTACATTGGGATGACACTCCAACCAACTTAGCTGCCTGGCTGGGGCAGTCCTTACAGTTCTAAACTCATGTCCAGAGCAAGGTTGGGCTGTGTCACTTCTGTCTCTGTCTTGTAATATTTGTGTTCAACTTGCCCTCTATTGTTAATGATGGATGCCCTGCCCCTACAACCGAGTCTTCTTGGCAGTCGTTTTGGATATTTAATGCCCTTAAAAAGACAGTTAAATACATGATGGATTTTTCAAAAGAGGGACACTGGGCTGGGATGAAGCAGACTGTGGTCTGCCTAACATAACTGGTTCCCCTACCAATTGGGACCTAGTTTTTACGGTTTTGAGACTGATATATTTTTCACTTGGAACATCATATTTAAACATCATATAAACATCATTGTTTATAGCATGTGGTAGACATAGAGGAATAAGCCTAGTTGTTTTGAAACTCTTGGTAAATGTGCTAAATCATGCACAGAGTGTAAACTTCCCATAATTTATCAATGCATTCTAGCTCCTAGGGTCCTGTGTTATTAATTAACCATTTAGAGTTACTGGGTTTAGCAATGAATTCTTAAGTCCTAGAATCTGGAGATAAAAATGACTAAAAAAATTTAGTCAAGAAGGAACTAGACAACCCTGGTCAGTGTGGCTCAGTGGTTGGAGCATCAGCCTGTGCACCAAAGGGTAACTGGTTTGATTCCCAGTCAAGGGCATGTACCTGGGTTGCAGGTTCAATCTCAGGCCCCCGTCAGGGCATGTGCAGGAGGCAACCAACCCACGAGTCTCTCTCACATTGACGTTTCTCTCTCTCTCTCTCTCTCTCTCTCTCTTTCTCCTCCTCCCTCCCTCCCTTCCACTCTCTCTAAAGATCAATGGAAAAAATATCCTCAAGTGAGGATTAAAAAAAAGAAGGAACTAGACCATTAAGCTAGATTCATGAAAGGTAGTCTTACTGGGAGAATCGTTGTGTTCTCCTACCTCTGAATGAGTTACATCCTAGACCAGGGTTATGATTCAAGACATGTTAACATTTTCATACTTTTTTCACTTATCTAGTGTTTACATGTCATACAATTGGTTTGTATCTAAGCAAAGAGTTAGAGTCAGGACTGTTGCTGAGGGTACCAAGGTATCTTAAATTAATTTTTGGAGTGAGAGATAGATTTAAATTCACTTCTGATAATGAAATACACTACATTGTTTGTAGCATGTGGTAGACAGAGGAACAAGACAGTTGTTCCTCTATGAAAAAAAATAGCGTTTGACAAATTTCTATTAGAAAAAATAGTTACAAAGACTATGACATAAATGACTGGTGAAACACCTAGACAATAGTTCTTTTTTGCTTTTTCCTCTTATGACATAGAAGGAGGGATAAGAGAGCCAGGGTCAACCTGTTATAAAGGAGGTAGTTTTGTTTGCTCACTTGAATTCAGAAATGTGAGATTAAGGGAATGGCTGAGACTTAGCCCACATCTGTGAGGGAAGCTTTGGGTTTTTAATTTCTTTAATTAAAACAAACAGGGAGACATGAGAAGAGAGCAAGAAACAAAGAGAGAGAAAAAGCAGGCATCTGGGTGCTTTGAAATATACAGGTTCCCTGAACAGCTTATTAATATTACATCATTCATCTTTAAATATTTGCCCTATATTTTATTTTATTATTATTATTTAAAAAGTTTATTTATTTATTTTTATTCATTTTTATTTATTTATTTATTTTTGTTACAGATGTTTCTCCTTTTTCCCCCATTGATACCCTTCTCCCCCTCCCTCCCTGCCCTGTCCCCAGCTTTGTTGTCCATGTCCATTGGTTATGCGCACATGCATATAAATTCTGTGGTTTATCTCCGCCCCCCTCTTCTGGGGATTGTCAGTCTGCCCTATATTTTAGAGGCAAGGCTGAGTACCCCTGGGGGAACAACAGAGGCGGAGAGCTGCTACCTGGTGGCAGAGCCCACTCTCTTCTCTACTGTTAGGGTGATTCAGCTCTGGCCCCAGACTTGCATGTTTTCTTTTACCAAACAAAAGCCCTGCACACCCCTGGGGAGTGTGAACAAACATGTATGTTCAATGCTAGGACCCATCTAAAGCGTTTTCTTGGCCAAAAAGTTCCTAACAAAGTTCTCATAAAACACACTAAGTCTTCTTCTTGGAAAATATTATGGTAAATATTGCTTTCTTCATCTTCTCACATTTCCGGTGGAAATTTAGCACCCTAGTCATACATACCCCTTATAGATTGGTATGTGGGGCAGTTGTTACTTTGAGTGAGGCAGAGGGTGGGAGAGAGCCAGAGGGAGAGACTTTGTCGGGAGACAAGACTCAACAAAAGAAGGTTCCAAATGATTTAAAATGTGTTTTAAAGAGTGAAAGAAAACTAGAGAAATATTTAAAGCATAATAGTAGTGACAACAGTACAAATGTGAGCTTATGCTTCTATCCTGGGAGTTTCTGCAAGAGGAACTACTAATGTTCATGCCTACTGCTTGAAAAACAACGTGCACTTTAAGAAATGGATATGACTGCTCTTTGCTCGATGGACCTAGAGTGGTTACGGTCCATTGTAGAGGGAAGAAGTCAACTGACTTGAACAAGTTTTGGCTTTCCAATGAAATGATAGAGAAAACCATATGTTGGCCTAAAGATTTTGCAAATTAAATTATAAATATTGGTACTATGGCAGAATTTATGTGTGACATTAAAAACACCATTTCCAAAGAGTGGAAATGATTCAGAGGATTATGTTTACAGTTGTGAAAGCAGCCATCAAATTAAAGAAGCCAAGTGCCCTAGTGACAAAAGGGCATAAGAGAGATTGATGGAATGACGAAGATCCTGGCATTGTCCTACTGAACTCAGCTTTTTGGAAACTAGCATTAAGCACTCTGAGTCTTCTGAAGACATCGTAAACAGTAGGTAATCCACCCTTCACAGCCACTGCCAGCCATCTGGCATGCATTCTTCATCACGCCTTCTAGGCTGGGAAATAACCTCATCTAATCCCATAAATTGTTGATTTCATATAGAATGAGTCTAGATTGGTCTTCATTTACCTCCAGACCTGGATATCTATAGGGGTCTCTTCCTTTTCCAGTAACCAGAGGAAGAGTTTGCCTGCAAAGGGAGGAAGGCTTGTAGCGTTAACCTGAAACTTTCCTCTCATAATTAGGGTTCATTTTCTGCCTTGAGTTTTCACAAAAAATCTATTTGGATCTTTACACTTCCTTCCCCCAGCCCTCTATTTCCCTCCCTCCATTGCCTGTTCTCATTTCTTTCTGAGATGCAATTAATGGTTCCCACATTTGTTAGGCCTCTCAAAGGGCAGAGGTGAAGCACATGAGAAATAACCTACTTACTGGCAAGACCCAGAGTGAGCTGCAGTCTCTGAGGCCCCAGTCCTCCCTGAAGGCACCACTCAGCACTATAGAATGCATCTCTTTCCTCCACAGGGAGGTGTTCCTACTTGCCCCAAAGCCCCGAATGCATCTCAGACACAAACTACAACTTGTCATGGCAATTTCTAATAGCACAGGTCTTTTGTGACACTTCTAGAACTCACTAGCTTAGCAGAAAGATCACTGCCATGCATTGTCAGCCTCCAGGACTCTTGAGACGATAGAGGCTGTCTATATTTGAGAAGTTTTCATGAATAGTTTTATTGAATAGAGAGAAATCATATTCTTAAGACCTCAAGACAGTAGACAGCAGCAAGAAAGGAAAATATACTTGAGAGGTTTAAAAGATGCTAAAGTGCTTTGTTGGGTGGGAGAGTACATGCTGCTTTAGGTTTTTATTTCATTTCAACAAAATCAAACTAGGAATTCTCTTTAATCACGTGGGACAGAGTCATTTGCATCAGACCCTTTGCACATTTAGACGGCAGGCACTGTTTCTCAAGACTATGAATTCTGTATTCAGTTTAAGAAAGTGTATTTTTGATTGAGGTTAACACAGTATTTAAGTTAATGGAAAACATGCCTCCATTGCAGAGTATTTCCACCAGAATTGCTGGATTCTGTACAACAATCTGTTTCTATTTTGAAAAAAAATTGGTGCTGTTGTATGACCTAAATATTCTTCTTTCCTTTTATTTCATGTGTCTACATTCATGTGCTTTCTTTTTCAGGTATATTAAAAAACAAATGGCATAGAATAAATTCAGATAAAAATGTTTCTAGTGGTATATATCCTTAATGTTTTATAAAAATAAAAAAAAATTATTTTGCTTAAAGTCTGAACTTCAATTCAAAGTAGAGAGCATGAGTTTCCACTACTGCTACCCAAATGATATTGGAATTGGGAAGAGAGGAGAGTGTCTTAGAAAGTGACTTTTAAATCTTGTATAAATTAGCATTTCTGAGTAACAAAGCACCCTAATGGTTATCGGCTCAAAATAGCAATCATTTTCTTTTGCATAAATACGATTTTCAGGCGGAGGTTGGTTGGTCTTCTAGCAGGTCTTAGTTAGGCAGCTCTGTTTCCGGTTGGGTCCAGCTGGGCTTGAGTTCTTTCTTACACATAGATATGTCAATGGGTGTTCATTCTAGGGCCCATATGGAGAGGCAGCAGCTACTGGGGACACTGTGCTCAAGGTGAATTCAGGTGGGCAAACGAGAGCGTGGCTTAAACTTGAAACTGGCACGCTATTACTTCCACTCATATATTGTTGGCCAAAGTGAGTCATATGGCTAAGTCTAATGTTAATGAGGTAGAAAATTTTAGCAGGAGGTACTGCAGAGTCAAGTGGCAGGGGTGTGGAAACCCAGAGAGAAAGTGAACTGGGGGCCAATAAGTCAATCCATCAGAAACCCCACTTCTTTCTTTCTTTTTCCTGCAGAAATGCTGTCACTGTGTTATCCTCCCTTCTCCACTAGGGTAGCAAGAGAAGCGGGAGGTGGCGATCTCAGTGGGACTCACTCTGATCTCTAGGCATGGCTTTCCCCAGTGACTCTCAAACTTTGGCGTATGATGAAATTATTGGTGAGTTTGGTAACCATACAGATCTTGGGTCCTATTCTCAAATTTATTAATCAGAATCACTGGGAGGGCCAAGTCACTTATATTTTTAACAATTCATCAAGTGATTTTGATGTACTTTGACATTTGAGACTCACCTTACTAGGAAGGAATTAAGTGATCAGCCTGGATCTTGCATTTGCTGGGACCCTGGCAGTGTGGCAAGTGTGATAGATTGCATTATTGTTCAGCAGATAGCCCCGCCCCCCACTACTCCTGCATGGGAAGTGTTTACTCCTTTGTTCCAAAGTTGTTGTATCTGGTTATGATATTGATTTTGGCCAATAGAATGTGAGAAGATATGACTTATTTCTTGTTCAAGTAGTATGTTAACTTTGATTATGTCGTTAGGCTTTGTCCCGTGTGTTTCTACCCTCTGCCATGAGGAGAACTTCCCCTAGGTAGCTGTATCAGCCTGTGAGGGAGGTTGTGTATCCCAGAAGGACGGTCATGAACCTGGAGCACTGTCAGTGTAGCTGCCTCACAGAATCAGACATGAAAAATAAATTTTAGTGTCTAAGCCAAGGATTGTTTCTTATACAACATTCTTGCAGCAGAAGTTGACAAATACGGTCAATAACTAAACAAGGCAAACAAGGCAAATAGCAAACTGGGACAGAAATGGGGCTCAAATTCCTGTGCACTTACTGCACTCAGATTTCTAGACGCCTTTTAATGGACTTATTCGAGCCTATCTTTAGTGTTTGTTTTATTTTGACTTAACCTGTAGGGAAATGCCAGAGAAGGGGAAATTTAACTTATAGAGGGATTTAGTCAGGACCTACAACTGTCTCAGGATTGATGTTGATTCTGAATTTCCCCCTTTAGGGCTTGTTTTTCCCAGATAGAGTAGGAGTGTTTGCTTTTTTGGTGCTTGGTTAATCAGCAATAATAACAAGCAGTACATGCCTGGTGCCATCCTAAATACTTTCCATGTATTAATTCATTTAGTTCTCCCAACAACTCTCGGAGGTAGAGACTATTATTATCTTTATTTCATGGATGGGCTCACACAAGCCACACAACTAGGAAGTCATAGCACGTTGAAGTCTGACTCCAGTAGCTGTTCTCTTTACCATTCTGTTGCTGCCTCCCAGAACAATTTTCACCACATTTCACCCCTCATTACTTAAAGCAACATCATTAATCCTAGAAAAGCAAGTTGCCCAATTTCCACCTAGAACAGAAAGATTCCAGTTCTCTCTGGTAAGGCGTGTGTACAACCATTCTTGAAAGTGAATGACAGTTTGTTGTAATATTTGTTGCTTTATTCCCCTTCTTTCTCCAGCCCCATCATTTTGGTCTAGAATACTTCTTTTTCCACTTTCTAACTCCCTCATCAGAGAAACAAAAATTAAGGCTTTTCATTTCATTTTGACCCAGAAACCTGAAGGCAGATGATAGAATTTCCAGCAAAGCACTCCATTAGAATAAAACCCCAACAAAACAACTCATCTTTTCAGATTCCATGAGTTCATGGCAAAGAGAGGCAGCTTGCACAGGGTACAGTCTTAATATAAAAATCGTTTAAAATCATAACATCTATTTATTCAGGACCTCCTCTAAGGCATTTTACATATATTAGCTTTACTTCCAGTAACAAACCTCAGAGAAATTATGGTTATCTTCTTATATGGGCAAGGAGAATGTATCCTAACAAAATCGCACAGCTATGTGAACAACAACTGAGCCTTATTTTCATGATTCCAAATTCTGTTGTCTTGGCCTTCACATCTTATTACCGCTCTTACCTTGAAGAAAGGATTGTTAAAAGCCCTCACATTACTGCATAAAATGATTTTTTTCTATAGTTCACATAATATAAAAATCTCTGAAGTGGATTTAGCTCTCAATCTTTTCCCTGCACAGTAAGCTCATTTTGTCTGGATGAGAATGAATACAGATAGTCTCTCCTGAGTGCACATTATTGTGAAATTGACAGCAAGAGAGATCTTATTCCTAAAAAGAAGCTTCTAAGCTCTTTACTATCTCTTTATTTTTTTCTTCAGTCTGGGCAGAAATGTCTAAACCTATGGGCCAATCTTCCCTCTGCTTATTTTAATGAATAAGTAGAAGGCAGATTCTCAACTATTTTCTTTTGCCAATTTGACCATTTTTTGTGTTTATCCAATTTGGTATGAAACAGTATTTGATGTATTTCTTTTCCCCTAACTTTAATTACCTATCACACTAATTCACTATAAAAACAATATCCCTAGAAGAGGATACTTTTTAATTTGCATTTCAGATTCTCCAAAACCATATATTAGCAACTCCTAGTAGTAAGAACACAATAAAATTGTTTAAATAAACAATTACTTTAAAGAATCTTGAGAATATACCCTGAAGGGAATATAATAACAGTTAAACACAGAAAGTACATTCTATAATTTTCTCACCAAAGTGACACATTTTCCTAAATAGTTAAAAAAAAGATAAATGGGAGGCAGAAGAAGATACTGATTTGCAATCTATTTTCTTTCAAAGCTCTGACAAATGGCAACCAACTCAGAGGTTCAGGGACACTAGAGAACAACATGGATATATTAGATAGAGTTCCCCGAGGACCAGGACTACCAGGATGTGGTCTATAGAGAAAGAGATGTTTTATAAGGAATTGGATCACATGATTATGGAGGCTGGCAAGTTCAAAATCTGTAGGGAGGCCAGCAGGCAGGCAACCCAGGAGAACTGATGTACAATTTTGAATCCAAAAGCAGTGTGCAGTAGAATCAGGAAGAGCTGATATTGCAGATGAAGTCCAAAGGTAGCATGTTGGAGAACTTCTTTCTGGGGTTAGAGAATGTAGCACTGGCTCTTGATGTTTTCTGACTAGAAAGTGACACATGTTGCTTCTGCTTGTATTTTATTAGCCAAAACAAGTCACATGGTTGGGCCTAACTTCAATGAACAGGGGGGCACATTTTTACCATGAATCTGGAAGGAAGAAATGTGGGTTATTGGTTATTAGCCTTAATGCCTACCATCAGCCAATAAATAATATTAGATAAAGATTCTAATGTAAAATGCGCAATCTGCATAATCAATTTAGACTTGTGATTTTAAAGTCAAAGATTGAAGTTTATTAATAATATTGGAAAATTTAAGGGAACTTGATGTCCATTACCTTTGTGTTTAATTTATATATATAGAAGAATTACTTAAACACTTGGAAAGTTTTTTTAATTGGACAAGTATATATCCAAATAACTAAAAGTTTAAGAAGAAATCAGGTTTATGAATTTATTACTCTAAAAAATATTAATTTTTAAAACTAAAATAAACATTTGAACAAAAGCTATCATTTTTGCATATCAAAATCTTGCATTGACTACTAGTAATTGGTGTTATCATCTAAAGTCCTTCTTTGTTTTCCTTTCTGAGAATTTCATTCTGTGAAATGATTATCATTAGAGACATAAGCATAACATATGACCAATGGTAGAGCGTACTAGAGGGAGATCTGAAGATTTCTAGCAGAGAGATTATCTTTCCTCCTTAGATTATATAAATGAAATAAAAACAGACAAAGTTTTAGGAGAAAACAGGTTATACTTTTAATACTCCCTAATAAATCCCTTTTTCAAGTATAAACTTCAGTATAGGTAAAGTTAATGATTGTCTAGGTAAAGTACTTACTTGAATTGGATAAAGGTAGTAAAAGAAGAGAAATATTGTATTTGATAAAATCCACTGTTTACAGCTCCTTTAAAATGTGGGCCTATGTAGTGATTTAATTCTGATGAGTAATAGCAAGTGAGATACTCAAAAACACATGATACAATTTATACAACATGTGTACATGTATTTATTTTTGGCTTCAGCTGTACTACAAGCGAAATTAAAATGGCTTAGCAAAGATCACAAATCTTTTGCATACAAGTCAAAGTGTCTATTCCATGTGGCTTAGGAATACGTGTAAAGCTTCCATATGGGAAAAAGATTTTCTGACACTCAAACAAATAAACAATCAAGCATCAAAGAACCTACCGAAAACTTGGACAAAAATTGATAAATATCTCAAAACTCTGAATGCAAGTTTTAAGGTCTAAACATTGTATTTTGCAATATACTTTATCATTTTGTAATAGAGAAGTTTTTTGCCAAAGATCCTGGGATTTAATATATGATTATGCAATGTGTGCAATGCATATATGTATACCTATATATATATATATTAGTATTTATTTCAATTTGCTTCCAGTTTACATATCCTACTAGATGCCTCAATGATTGATTATTGCTCTCACAGTGAAACTAAAGAGATGGCAACTCTTATGAAGCAAATTTTAAAACTTCAGAATAATGATTATATATTTGATTTATACAGTTTATTTCTCCCAAAGTGTTCTTTTTAAATTCATGCCACATTTAAGCAAGTGATGATGCTCATGGCTGACAGTGCTAGGTTAAGCTGACTTTGTCTTAATGTCATCACCAACAATAACTAAAAACAAAACAAAACAACAAAAACAAAGAAAGAAAGAAAAAGAAACAAGAGGAAGAGCTACAAGAAGCCTGACACAAGAAACCAAGATTGCATTAACATTCGTGTTATCACATAATTTTGAACTAGGCTCTTCTTGTCCATGGGCCCTGTGTTGTGATACTTGAGGTCTCTATATTGCCACAGACCCTCTTTCGTTTGCATGCTGCTCTGCAGAAGTCCCAAACCATGGCCCACAGGCTAGATTTGGCCCATTCCAGTGTTTCATTTGGCTTGTACAATGTTTGAAAAATTGTTGAGCCAACATATTGAAATCGAAAGCTTTCACATAAAACTCCAGATTTCTGGCATCTCTCAAAAAATTAGGAGATCTGGGAACACTGGGC